GGAAGGGAGAAGAAGAGCGAGCGGGAAGAAGGAGGAAGCGGACGAGAGAGAGCGAGAGAGGAAGGACGGAGGAGAGCGGAAAAGAGAGCGGCGAGAGCCGACGAAGAAGGAGGCGGAAAGGGCGGCGACGGGAAGGACAGACAAACGAGGGCGGCGGAAAGGGCGAGCGACGGCAAAGGAAGAAACGAGGGCGGCAGCGACCAGGCGGGGGGAGGGGCGGCGGAGAGGGCGGCGGCGACGAGGGCGGCGGCGACGGGGGCTGCGGCGGCGGGGGCGGGGCGGCTGGTGGCGAGCACCTCGGCGGGGCACAGGGTCGAGCGGCTCGAGCTCGACTCGCGCACCGGCAGGTACGCGCGGTTCAGGTGCGGCTCCAGCCTGCGGGACACGTCGTGGACATGTCGTGGACGTGTCCTGGACATGTCGTACCCGCGGTTCGGGTGCGGCTCCAGCCTGCGCAGCTCCTCGGCGAGCCGGAAGTCGCCGCCGTCCGCGGCTCGCAGCCCCTTCTTCACCATCTCCTCGCGCGCGCGCGCCGAGCCCGCGTCGTAGACCCGCTTGAGGCCGAGCGAGTCGCCAAGGAGCAGCGGCGGCAGAAGGTGCATCCCGGGCACCGAAAAGACCGAGTGCGGCGACTCGGCGGGCGTGGGCGCGTCGCGGTGTGCCTCGTCCGGCAGCGCGGGCGCGAGGAGTGTCGCGTACGTCGGCCGGGCCCGCAGCTGCAGGTAGGCGAGGGAGATGTCGCAGTAGGCGCATAGCTCCGTCAGCATCGCGTACGGAAGCATCGCAACCTTCGAGGCCGGGCGGGCATGGGGGCGGTGCCGGCGGCGGTGAAGGTGGGTGCGGCTCTGGTGGCGGGGGCGACGGCGGCGAGGGTGGCCAGGGGGATGAAGAGGTGGAAGCGGCGGTGGCGGCGGTGGCGGTGAGGGCGGCGAGGGCGGCGGTGGCGGCGAGGGTGGTGGTGGGTGGGGCGGTGGCAAGCCTTGGGCGGCGAGGGTGGTTGTGGGCGGTGGTTGTGGGTGGGGCGTGTGGCAAGCCTTGGGCGGCGAGGGTGGTTGTGGGCGGTGGTTGTGGGTGGGGCGTGTGGCAAGCCTTGGGCGGCGAGGGTGGTTGTGGGCGGTGGTTGTGGGTGGGGCGTGTGGCAAGCCTTGAGGAAGCGCGGCTCGCTGCCGAGCGCCTCGCGGGCGAGGAGCATCACCTGCTCTCCGAGATGAGCCGAGATCACCCCGAGATTGTCCGGGACGACGGCCGAGCTTGCCGTGTGCCCGCGGCGCATCACCTGCGCCAGCAGCTGCGTGTGCACGTGCAGCTGGATCTGCAGCCGCCGCACCTGCTCGTCCGAGAAGCGGAGGCCCGGCTCGGCCGCCTCGCCGGCCGCGCCGCCGGCCGCGCCGCCCCCCCCAGCCACATCCGCCCCTCCGGCCGCCCCCGCCGCCGCCGCCGAGGGCGGCCGCCGCCCCCGCGCCCGCGCCGAGGAGCGGGTCGCCCCCGTGTCGCCGAGCAGCTGCTGCACTTCTTCATCCGACACCTCGCCCAGCTCGTCCTCCCACTCATCGACCGCCCCGTCGTCGCCGCGGTACAGGTAGTCGCGATCCTCGTCCTCCTCCTCCTCGTCCGCCTCGTCGCCCTGCTCGCGCATCTGCACCAGGAAGCGGCTCCACTCGCCGCCCTCCTCGCCCGCCTCGCCCGCCTTCGGACCTGGCCGCCGCTTGGCCACGTGCTGCTCGCCCTCGCGCTCGCCGTCGCTGTCCGAAGCCAGCATCGCCTCCAAGTCCTCTAGCTGCTGCGCTTCCAGCGAGACGTGCGCGCGGGTGCGCTTGGCAATGCCGTCGGAGGGTCGGCCGTCGGAAGGGTGCGGCGCGTCGTCGCGGGAGCGGCGGGACGGTGTCGCAGACCGGCTCGCCGCAGACCGGCTCGCCGCAGACCGGCTCGCCGCAGACCGGCTCGCCGCGTCGCGCAGCGCCGCGGGCGGACGCCGCAACGGGGTCGCGCCGCCGCCTGGGCGCGGCGACGCGGCGGCGCTGCGCGTGCGTCGGCCACCGCTGCCTGCGCGCCCGGCGCGCGCGGCCGCCGACGAGGGTGGCGCGGGTGAGCTGCCCGACCGCGCGCTCGGTGAGCCGAGCCGAGAGCGGGTCCTCCGCGCAGGCGTCGACTCCCGCGAAGGCGACGGCGCAGCGCGCTGGCGCGGAGACGCACCGGCGGCGGCGGCAGTGCCTGCTGTCGTCGCGGCAGGAGGCTCGGCGTCGTCGGCGTCGTCGGCGTCGTCGTCCGCCACCGCATACGGGTCTTTTGCAGGGTCGTAGTCGACGTCCTCCTCCTCCTCCTCTTCCTCCCCTCCCTCTGCGATGTCGGTGGCAAGATGGATGTCCATCATGCCAGTGCCCTCGCCGGCCTCACTCTCGCCGCTCTCACTCTCATCGCCCTCCTCCTCCTCCCCCTCCTCCTCCTCGTCAGTGTCGCCGGCGTCGTCGTCGGCCTCGTCAGCGTCCTCCTCGCCCTCACCCTCCCCAAAGCCGGCGCCTGCCTCGTCCTCGTCGTCCGCATCCTCGCCTTCGCTCTCGTCCTCCTCCTCCTCCTCCTCCTCCTCCTCCTCCTCCGCCGCCTCCTCGTCATGGCCTCCGGGCGGGGGATGAGCGCGGTGGTGCTGCCCACCGCGGTGGAGAGCCTCATAAGCCGAGGTACATTCGGGAGATATAGCCGAGAACTCGGCGATCGGGGACCTGCTCCTTCTCTATCCATCTCCTATCTAGAGAGAGAGAGAGAGAGAGAGAGAGATATAGAGAGAGAGATATAGAGAGAGATAGAGACAGAGAGAGAGAGAGAGAGATAGATACAGAGAGAGAGAGAGACAGAGATATAGAGAGACACAACCAGACAGATAGAGAGAAAGACAGAGAGGTCTCTGCTTTCTT